AAAAGCGAGACTCTGTCTCAAAAAAAAAAAAAAAGACTGCGTGTCTGATCCTGCTGTTTATTCTTTCTTTTGGTATCACCCATGCTGCGTTATTTTCTTATAAATTTTGGGATTGCTGCCTGGGATTGATGAGCTGCTTATTTTCCCTGAAACTTTGCCCTAGAACTCTTTAAGTTCTGGGTGGAAGCTATGTTCCTTTTGAGAAACCTTGTTTTTCTTCTGCTAGTTACCTTGGGGCACTACCTACATGAACTACTTTAAAATAAACTCTGCCATTTAGAGATTGTGGACCACCCAAGCAGTATGAATTTGGACCAAATACCTGTGTGGGGCCCAGCTTGTGGTTATTAATTTTTAGAAGTTTTTCTTTTTATCCCACCAAGTGCTAATGTCAAAATGGGATGGTGGATTTATTTCTCTTTGGCTCTTACTGAGTATGTAGCCACTGGAGAACCATCATTATGAAGTTGCGTTCTATTAGAATCACCACTTTGGTATTTTTTTCTTTTTGTTTTTTCTTTTTCAACTTACCACTTCTTCCAGGATTTTTAAATTTTATTTTATTTTTTTTAAAACAGAGTCTTGCTCTGTCACCCAGGCTAGAGTTGGTGGAGTCATCATAACTCACTACAACCTCTAACTCCTGGGCTCAAGCCTTCCTCCTGCCTCAGCCTCCCGAGTAGCTGAGACTACAGGTGCACGCCACCACACCCAGCTCATTTTTTAATTTTTTATAGAGACAGGGTCTCACTATGTTGCCAAGCAGGTCTCGAACTCCTGGCCTCATGCGTCCCTCTGGCCTCAGTCCCCAAAGCGCTGGGACAACAGGTGTGAGCCACTGCACCCAGCCAGAATCCCCACTTTGAAGGGGGTCTCAGGATTTATGTCCTGCCAGCACAACCTGTACAGCCATCAAAGTGGACGCTCGGGGTCTCCAGGGTCTGGCAGCAGTCCTCAGGGGCCATCAGAGCCTGACGTTTCCCGGCTGTGCAATGGAGAGAGGGCGTGTGGGTTGGGGTCCTGTCAGCCTACAGCTCTGGTCTCCTTGGATCCCTGTAAGCCTGCCACATGCCCTGGCCAGCCGACAGAACCTCCCTATCCTCAAACCTCCCACTCCTGGGTGCCCTCCCCCCATCACCTACCCCCAGCACCCCAAACTGCCCACTCACCGTGCCCACCCTTCCCCATATCCTGCAGGACTGCACCCCTGTGCCCTGCGTCCTCCCCGCTGCCATCCTCACCTGCCCCAGTGCCTCTGCCTCCTGCCCTCCCCCTCCCTCTCTGCTCAGATCCCCTTCCATGCCCGCCCTCCCCACTGTTCTGCAGACACCGTCCCCACCAACGTCACCATCGCTGTCCTCTTGCAAATCCCAGGGCCCTTGCTGTCCTCCTCGGGCTCCATCTCCAGGCACACTGACCACTCCTTTCTTCTTGAAGTGGCCTTTCCATTGCCACGCCTACCACGCTGGGTTCTGTCCCCTCTCCTCTACTGGCTCCTCTTCCTCCACCTGACCCTCTTACGAGTGGTCCCCAGAAGTTTGCCTCCATCCCTTGCCTCCTGCCTTGGCAGAAACGATGTTCATGCACTTGTCTTCCGCCCGGATCTCCCCTGAGCCCAAGCCCTCTACGTCCAGCTCCCTCCTGGGTGGTAGCTCAGGGCAGACCCACAACCCCCACGGCCTCCACCCCTCGGTTCCCAACGTCTGCCCCCCTGGGCATTGTTCTCCACACTCTTTCTCACACACACGCACCATCGCCAGTGGCCAAGCGCCCGGCCGGGTTTCACTGTGAACCTCTATAAGCTGCACATACAGATGATTCTTGGACTCGAACTCCGGGGTTCTCAGAACAGGGGCAGTTTCTAACTTGCTCCCCATACTGGAGCCCCCAGAACTCCTTCTGTGTGAGGTGGTGACTCAGCCCCTTCCCCGTGGACTTGCTGTCCCAGGAGTGGCCTGCAGTAACCCAGGCCAGCCTGCCAGTCCTATTAGTTTCAATCCCATGTAGATAATCTATCAGCCACAGTCTAAAATGGAAGGAAAATTCTTGCCCCTGAGATAAATCTAATCTGTCCTTGTCACCAATCCCAACTAGATATGCAGGATTCCCTGGGGGCAGGGGAGAAAGCCTAGAGTTAGAAAAGGAAAGCACATTGAAGGCCACCCCATCTAGCTGCTTCCTTTTACACGTGGGAAAACGAGACCCGGAGAGGGGCAAACACTTGCTCCAGGTGTCCAGGAAAGTGAGAGGAGCTGGGCCTGATCTGGGGTCTCCCGACCCCCAGGCAGGGGCAGACAGGGAGGGGTGAGGGCTCAGCCCATCATCCTCGGCTGTCTCCTACTGTGCTCAAAGGTCATTTTGGTGGTGGCAGGATTTTCTGCTTGGCCTGTTAAGATCCTGGGAGGGTAAAAGGAAGAGGAGGAGGGTGGGGAGGGAGGAGGGGCTTCAGGGGTTATCTCCACGCTGGGACTTTACAGGGCTGCACAGCTAGCCAGGTCTGGGGGAGGATTAGGTGCTGCTGGGGGCTCCGGCCTCCCACCACAGTCCCGCCGCAGGGCCGCCATGGCCTACCAGCAGTGGTGCTCAGGCAGACAGGCCAAGTGGGCAATCGCTGGCATTGCCACTGTGGTTCTGGTGTTCATCGTCGGGATGGTCCTAAGCCTCATCCTGCGAAGGCCAGGTACGCGCCACCCCTCCTGCCTTCTTAGCTGGCTTCCCTGTCACTCACTCCTTCTCCCCACCGAGGCTCTGTCCCCATCCACAGCTCTCTGCCTCTTCTGCCCCCCAACCCTACCATGACTCCATCCATCCCCAGCAGAAGGTCCCATTAATTTCTTTCCCTTCACCAATTGCCTGAGGACCATCAGATCTCAGCCTCAGCCCAGACCTCCCTCCCACGCCCTCGATGAACATTGCTTCTTGGGAGTCCCAGGGGCACCTCAAACTAAGCAGACTGAGCTGAGTGCACCCTTCCCCCTACACCTGCTGATCCCTACACCCCCTCTTGTTGAGGGGCTCCCCCATTCACATGGGAACCTGAGAGTAGCCTACACCCACCTCTGCCTCCTGCCTGTGCTCCTCACTCCTGAGCCTCGAACGTCCTTCCTTCCCACCGCCTGTGCCCCATCTCTGCCCTGCCCTCTGAGGCCTCGGGGTCTCCTGGACCCTCCACGCAGTCCTCTGCCACCAGCCTGCTCTCGCCAGCCCACACTCACACTGCAGCCAGAGAGAGCTTCCCAAACACGCCCTCACTCGCTGCCCTCGGCTCACGGCCAGCTCCTTTGCTAGGTTCAAGGCCGTTTAAGACTTGATCCCAGCCCTCTCTTCCAAAATTTTTTTTAAAATTGTGGAATGTCTTTCTTTCTTTCTTTCCTTTTTTTTTGAGACAGTCTCACTCTGTTGCCCTGGGTGGAGTGCAGTGGCATCATCATACCTACAACTCCCAGGCTCAAGCGATCCTCCTGCCTAAGCCTCCCAAGTAGCTGGGACTACAGGTCCACGTCACCATGCCCAGCTGATTTTTTTTCTATTTTTAGTAGAGATGGGGTCTCGCTCTTGCTCAGGCTGGTCTCGAATTCCTGACCTCAAGCGATCCTCCTACCTCAGCCTCCCAGAGTGCTAGGATTACAGGCGTGAACTGCGCCCGGCCCCTCTTTTCCAATCTCGCACTGTTATTCCATTTTCTCTACACTCTGTCCATACCAGGCCACTGGCCATTCCTTTAGGCAGCTACACTCTCCCACAGCAAAGCCTGTGGCTGTGTTGTTCTGTCTATCTGGAACCTATTCCCTACTTTCTATCAAATTTATACCCATCCTTCCAGGTCTCCCTTACATGTTCCCTTCTCTCTGAATGTTCCCTTCCCATACCCCCCTTTCCTCATTGCCCCAGGCTGGTACCAGGGCCCATCAGGGCACCAGGAGCCCATGCATTTCACTCTCTTGCAGCACCAAAGAGTCCAGGTCTCATTGTCTCTCTGCTAGATCACGTGCTAGACACACAGTGGGAGCCCAGGGAGGGCCGTGGGATGAGTGGACAGGGGTTGGGCTAGGGCAGGGGGTGATGCTAACGGCCCCTTGGTATTCATCCAGGCTGTGGGCAGGATGCCTGTCGCCCCGATGCGGACATGCTGGACTACCTGCTGAGCTTGGGCCAGATCAGCCACCGAGATGGCCTGCAGGTCACCTGGTACCACGCGGCCAACAGCCAGGAAGAGATGGGGGCTGCCTTGAACAGTAAGTTCAGCTGGCAAGACTGGGGCAGGCCAGGGCAGGGGCTGGAGGAGAGGGAGGAGAGCAGAGGTGAGGATCAGGCACTGTGGTCACTGTGGCATTACGATGGCTGTTAACATGTCTTGTCACACTCCACATAGCAAATAGGGGCTCAGAGGGGTTAAGTGCAGCTGATAAGCACTGGGATTTGAACCATATGTCAGACCCCAAAGTCATGGCTGTACTGCCCTCTCTTGACCTGTCAGGGGCCAACTGCCCTGCTAAGGAGCCCTTTGCCCTCAAATCCTAAAGAAGCCAGAAGATCTGAATTTGAGGCCTAGTACTGAAAACAAACTGTGAACACCTGAGCAGATCATGTAACTCCCCTGAACCTCAGATGCAAAATGCTGATGGCAACCGGTCGGCCATGGCTCACTGCGTGGGGCACACGAACGTTGCGCATGAGTTCTCCTGGGGCGGCCACACAACCTGTTTCGTGGATACCATTTTACAGAAGAACAGGCTCAGAAAAGTTAGGCGACTTACCCAAAGTTACCTTGTCTGAAAGTGGTTAAGCCAACATAGGCGGCCACAGAAGTTGGCCCCCCGAGTCCATGCTCTGAGCCATTGTGCTCGACCCCCGGGTCAGCAGAGCAACACCTTCTGTAGGACCATGGGGAAGCATGATAGACAATGTTCATGAACATGCTGGTAAGCTCCAAAGCAGTAGCTATAAAAGATGAAGGGGGTAGTCCTCAAACTTGAGCATTTTTCAGAAGACATGGGGTGCTGGCTTCACCTCCAGAGTTTCTGATTCAGTTTTTCTGGGGCAGAGCCCAAGAATTTGCATTTCTAGTAAGTTCCATGATGCTGCTGGCCCCAGGACCACACTTTGAGAACCACTGCTCGTGCAAACTCTCTCTGGTTCAGATGAGGAAACTGAAGTCCAGAGTGGGAGAGGGTCTTGTCCAAGGCCACACAGTAGGTCTGCAGTAGAGCAAGGCCTGGGTGCCAGAGACCCTGCTCTTGTTCCTGCAGGGTCCAAGTGCGTGCCTGGGGAGGATTAGCTGAATGAATGAATGGGTGGTTAGGGAGGGCTTCCCAGAGGAGGCAGGCGGTGTGGTCAGCAGAGGAGGGGCCATCACAGGCTGGGTGGGGCCAGCTTGCTACAGCTTCAGGGATCTCCCCTGATTGGGAGGCAGATTGCTGGGCCTTGGTGATAAGGAGGACTGAGAGTCCTCTCCCCTGAGGAGGAAACCCAGCCAGGGAGGGAAGACTCTTATCTGGGGAGATAAGGCCCAGAGAGGACAAAGAGGCCCTGCCACCCCAGGTTCATCCCCCATCTGCCTTGGGGCAGCAGAGGAGCCATTGAGGACCCGCCTAGCCAGGACCTTGGCCAAGAGGAGAACCATGGGCCCCACCTGGGCAGAGCCCAACAGCAGGGACATGGAGGCACCCCCAGCTTAGCTCCGGGGGCCCAGGGAGGACCACAGGCCCGGGTTCCTCCGTGAGCATCTGCCAGGTCCCGGGGCTAGGCCACTGAAAGGAAGGTGGTGCCACAGCTGAGGTGTGGACCCTGAAGGGGAGCCGGCAGTAGAGTGACAGGACATCCACGTGGAAAGCACGGGCCAGAGCGCAGGCCTGGGAGGCAGGCAGAACTGGGTTCAAATTTTACCTTGGCTAGTTACCAGCTGTGTGACTGGCACAAGTGACTTCGCCTGTCTGCAGCTCAGTTTTCCCCTCTGCAAAATAAGGGCTGGTAGAGTGACCACATTATCCAAACTAGGGCACTTTTGATTGTGAAAGAGGTCATTATTTTTTTTTTTTTTGAGACAGAGTCTCACGGTGTTGCCTGGGCTAGAGTGCCGTGGCGTCAGTCTAGCTCACAGCAACCTCAGACTCCTGGGCTCAAGCGATCCTCCTGCCTCAGCCTCCCGAGTAGCTGGGACTACAGGCATGTGCCACCGTGCCCGGCTAGTTTTTTCTATATATTTTTAGTTGTCCGATTAATTTCTTTCTATTTTTAGTAGAGACGGGGTCTCACTCTTGCTCAGGCTGATTTCGAACTCCTGAGCTCAAACAATCTGCCCGCTTTGGCCTCCCAGAGAGCTAGGATTACAGGCGTGTGAGCCACCGCGCCCAGCCAAGAGGTCATTATTAATAATTATGCTGAGACAACAGAAATATGCCAGATGGTCCCTTTACCCTAGTTAAATGAGCTACTGCATGTAAGTAATAATTAACAGTAATACCTAACCAGGGATATTTTACCTAATTCTAGTACATGAGGAAACAGAGGCACAAAGAGGTCAAATAACCTCCCCAAGGTCACACAGCTTGGAAGCGTTAGGGCTGGGACTGGGTGCCTTCAGTGTGGATTAGGGTTTGCACACTCAGCCACCATGCTCTCCTGCAAGTGTAAAAAGCTCCTGGCACAGGGAGGGTGGGTGGAGGGCTCGGTAACTGCATGTCCCCTTCCCTGCTGACCAGGCTCCTTCTGTGGCCACAGGAATCTGATCCCTTCCTCCATCTCCTGTTCCTTCACTCCTCCACCCCAAGCAAGTCAGCCCCCACATTCAGCCCCTGGAAGGCAAGTAACAAGTTTTAATGTCAAGGGAGAAGACTTCCAGCAAGGGGCTGTGTCCAGGCAGCAATCGCAGGGAGGCTGGTGAGGTCCAAAAGGCAGTTCCCTCCAGTCTGTAATCCATTCACTGAGCGAAGCAGGAGGAGGGGCTTTTTTGTTTTGTTTTTGAGACAGAGTCTCACTCTGTCACCTGGGCTAGAGTGCCATAGCCTCAGCCTAGCTCACAGCAACCTCAGACTCCTGGGCTCAAGCGATCCTTCTGCCTCAGCCTCTCAAGTAGCTGGGGCTACAGGCCTATGTCACCATGCCCAACTAATTTTTTTTCTATATTTAGCAGAGAGGGGGTCTCACTCTTGCTCAGGCTGGTCTCGAACTCCTGACTTCAAACAATCCTCCTGCCTTGGCCTCCCAGAGTGCTAGGGTTACAGGCGTGAGCCACTGCGCCCGGAACAGAGCGATATTTTAAGCCAACACTAAAGGATGAGCAGGAGATGCCATAGTAAAGCTGTTCAGGGAAGAATGTTGCCAGGCAACAGCCACATTTAAGAGCCTAGATATGGGAGGACAAGACATATTAAAGCCTTGCTGCTCAAAGTGTGGTTCACGGACCAGCAGCACAGGCATCCCTGGGGAGCAGGTTGAAAACGCAGAATCTCAGGCCCCAGCCCAGATCAGAACCTGCATTTAACAGCTCCCGGGGGATCTGTGTGTCCGATAAATTTGGAGAAGCTGGGCGGCTGGATCCTAGAGAATGAGGGAGAGAGGGACATGAGACAAGATGAGAAAATTTGGCAGGATCTGATTGTGCAGACCGCAAAGACCATGGCAAGGAGTTTGAGTTTGATTTTCAGGGAAATTGGTGGGGTTTTGGTGGTTTTCATTTTTTGGTTTTTGTTTTTAACACATTGACTGCCATGTGAGTTGTATTTAACTCACGCTAGTTTTGACCCCGGGGCCTCGTGAAGCAAAACCTTGCAGTTGGTTTGTGAAAATTTTACTTGTTGATGTTCTTATTGTTACAATTAATAGTGACAATTTAGTTCTAAAAATGTGGATTTTGTTGCACATAACTCACACACAGAAAACAATAAAAAAATAACAAATTAGAAAGGGTCATTTTGTTTTAATAAAACACCGTGGCCCTAGGGGGGGAAAAAATTTCTAGTGTAGCAGTCAATGTGTTAAACGGAAAGTGACATGATCAGGTACCTGTTTAGAACACTTGCTCCAGTGGCTATGTGGAGCATAGACTTGGAGGGGAACAGTGCTGGAGGACAGAACAGTTAGGAGGCTGGGGAAACCAGGAGGAAAGGCCCCTACTGACACCAACTGTCTGTGATGATACATGAGCTGAGAGTGAACCCTCCCTCCCACCACCACACTCCCCAAAATCCAGGGCCCCGTGCATGGTCTTCCAGAGTCTGCTTCCCATTAGAAAAGTCTGAGGTCCCTTCGAGACTGAACTCTGGAAGGCAGGAATCAGACGATGTCCACCTGATTGAGTTAACTGCGTGATGTTAAGAGACAAAAACACCAACGCTCAGTGCTGGTGGTAAGGATGCAGCGAGATGGGCAATCTTGTGTACTTCAGGTGGGAACATGAATCAGATCAACTTTTCTGGAAAGTAATTTGATAACATGGGCTTTCC